CCAATTTTCACGATGAGATTCGCTTATCGACTGAAGTATGAACTCAAAATTACGACATCAAACATTTATAATTCTGTGAAAAGCAAAAGTGAAATACCAGAGGAGGCATTCAGTCAAAAATCTGAAGATGGGACATATATTATTTTCAACATATAATATACTATAAATCAGTACTGGTACCGACTGCAAACCCTGGTAAGCATGCTCTTTGGCTCAGTTGAGCTTCATCTTGTTAGTGAGGATTGGGTTTCTTTTTTGGCTGTCTTGCTGGGAGACTGGATGGTACGCGTGGTTACAGTGACCCCTGAAGTTTCCTGTCGTACTCTTTCGAGATCTGTGGACGACGGTCGATGATTCTGCAGGCTCATCCATTTCAGAACACGACAGTTAGCTGCTAGGGAAGCTTTCTTCCTACACTTTCCCCTTCCTCTGCTCCACACAGCCAGTCTCTCTCTATTTATGCACCCAGCAACTCACAGTAGACTAGTTATATTTAATTCTTCTAGCAATTTCTCTTGTCGAAAATCCTTATTCGCTCAAAGAAACAAAGACTCTTTTTTTTTCTGTGGAGTTAACTCGAAATCCTTGACCATAGTAGCAGTAAAAGCCTCTATTTTTAGCCAAAAAAAAACGGCTGATGCAATACCCAGACAGATTATAAAGCGGCTGATGTACTAATTAGACAGTATTGCATCACACACGAAACACTTTTGCACCTTCATACATTAGGGCCTCAAAACAGAAGTTGGTTTCGAAGAAAAGTGCGAAAAAAATTGGGTAATGCAATAAATATTTTCGCCACTATTAATATATCTATCCATATATACCTCATAGAACCAGAGCTCATTACATACTGGCCCATCCTACGATTTGTGCCTCGGTGTTGAATATTTGTTCTGTGGCTACGTTGTTTATTAATTTGCAAATATATCTTTCGTTTATTTATTTACTTACTTACTTAATTTACCTTTTCTTTCTTTTCTCTATAAAATTAAATCAATTTATAAGTTTGTTTACTTATTTAATTTTTTGGCTCAACTGAGGAATGAAAATATAATTTGTAAAAAAAAATATACATTTATAACTATCAGTTGTTTAACAACTCGTGACAAAAAGGCTTTTGTTTTTTAGGAATTATTTTTAAAAAATTGGTAAATAGAAACATTTTGTATTGGAATTCAGTTTTAATCCTATCTAACATGTGAATTTTGTTAACGAAAAATCAATCAGGGCCATGATTAATTGTTTGTTTTGAATTTCGGGCAAAGCTACACGAGGGCTATCTGCGCTAGCCGTCCCTAATTTAGCAGTGAAAGACTAGATGGAGGGCAGCTAGTCATCACCACCCACCGCCAACTC